ATGAGAGGGTGGATGAGAGTGTAGATGAGAGGGTGGATGAGAGTGTAAATGAGAGAGTAGATGAGAGTGTAGATGCGAGTGTAGATGAGAGTGTAAATGAGAGGGTGGATGAGAGGGTAGGTTCGCTGCACCTTTGGGTCCGGGGGCTGGCTCTTATGGTTGTTGTGCCTACGCGTCAAATGATGGTTCAGAGTATCCATCTGGCCTTCTTCTAGACCAGGGGTCTGCAACCTGCAGCTCTGGAGCCACATACGACTCTTCGGCCCCTTTTCAACGGCTCTTACAAGCTTGACCAAAATTAACATAAAACTGAATTTTATTGGTTGTTATTCATACAACAAAAAATACTAGTTTTAGCTGTTCTCCTGTCATTTATTTTACAAATACTTACTTGTACTTTCTGCTTTATTTCAATATTTAATTATTTTTTTCTTCATTTAAAAAATTACGTAGGTCTGCATAGTTCTTTTTTTTTAATTTACAAAACAATTTCCTCCCCCTCTTTACAAGATTCTGGTCTTTTCATTTGTCTTAAATCGTAAAAATATTGATAAATGTTAAAAATCATTAGATGGTTTTAGCTGTATAATGTCACCCCTGCTGGCCACAAAAGTCTCCTCCAACAAACCTAAAGTGTCCCACCGGCCACCAGGTGACCACACAGCAGGTTGTTGCTGCTCTAAACACTTTTAAAGTGGTGAACAAAGGAGCAAAAATGGCTGCAAACCCCTGTTCTAGACCTTAGCGGGGGTGCTGGAAGGTGCCCCAGCTGGGGACTCCTTTATTCTGCTGGGGGATTAAATGCCCAAGTGGGTAACAACAGTGTTACCTGGAGGGAGGTGAATGGGAGGAACAGCCTCTCTAATCTGAAGCCGAGTGATGTTCTGTTGTTGGACTTATCAAAAACACCATGTCCATAAGGGTGTCCATAAGTGCACTTGACACCAGGATGCCCTAGGTTGTAGATCAATGATTGACTTTGTAGTTATGTAATCTGATTTGATGCCATTTCTTTTGGACACTCGGGTGAAGAGGAGCTGAGCTGTCAACTGATCACCACCTGATAGTGAGTTGGATCAGATGGGGTAAAATGCTGGAAAGACCCAGTAGACCCAAATGTGTAGTGAAGGTTTTCTGGGAATGCCTGGCAGAAAAACCCGTCAGCAAGATCTTCAACTCATATTTAACAAAGGAATAGTTCAAGTTAATGAAAACAAACTATCATTCCATTTGGTTTCAAAACATTCTAAAAATGTTGTTGCACTGCCATCTAGTGGTGAAAGAAAACCCTACCTGCTGTTCGTAATGGGTTTGCTTCTTACAGGTTTAACGGCGCATGACTCGGCTATTTAATGATCATGAACGGCTGGCGAGGAGTTTTAAATACAGACTTTGCTGAGATTATTAGCGTTCCAGTTCAAAATAGTGATACTGTACATTAGGGATACAAGAAAATGTTGGTGAAGTTTACTATGTCGTGTAAACTTGACAAAATAAACATGCAGTAAAAAAGTAATTTTAATCACTTCCTGTGTATTACAGAGCATAGAGTTGATCATATTTAGCTAGTAGTCGTTAGTTTGAGACATTTCGATCAACAATAATGCCAAGGTCATCGCCACTGTATTTGAGCAAGATGTAAAGCACCTCAGGGTTTGGGGGTAAACATTCCTGTTGCACCGTACTTGCACCGGTATATAGAAATGGTGCGGACCCACAGCGTGACCATTACTTAGTTCACCAATCAGAATGTGGGAGGAAGCGAAACCCGGAAATAGAACTCTAAAGTAGTTATTTTGTAGACAAGTTTTTCTCCCTGAAAAGGTTAGCAGACTTTTAAAATAATATCCACAGTAATCTTTAGAGTTGATCGTATGAAAGTGTGCAGTTCGGCCTGGTTGTGATCTTCCCTTTCAACCTGGAAGCATGGATACAACCGGTCTGTTTACATAATGAATCAGCTGACAGGAAGCTACACGTTACCCATCCTGCGTTTCTAAATTGAGTCACACGAGCAGGTAAATATCGACCAGCTGTGGTTTCATGTCTTAAACGTAACTTTAACAAGAAAAAAAAACGCAAAAAAAAAAAAAAAATAGTTATAATTTCCCCCACACCGAGCCCAGCAAAAATGCTGCGAAGCTAACAGTGAACAAGTCAAAGTCCAGCAGTGTCGGTTGAGCAGCCTGTCACCGGATCAGTGGCCCGTTTGAAAGGACCTTCTCTGATGACAACATGCCCTGCTCCTGTGAGAACTGGAGGAGGTGGATTCGGCCACTGGTCGTCCTGTTGTACATTTTGCTGCTAATAGTCGTCCTGCCATTATGCATCTGGGAATTGCAGAAGTCAGGGGTAAGTTTAGCCCACAGGTCTGTTTGGATCTGTTTCCTTTTGATTCTGGTCGGCTCACAGGTTCTTGTTCCAACTTATTGTTACTGTAAACTTATTAGATTTCGATTTTCTAGCAGTGTTGACTACATTAGACTTCTGCCACAGCAAAACGTGCATAGTTGGATGTATTCTCCATCATAAAATGCCATAGATTGAACTTAACACTGCATTGAAAGTATGTATTACTGTGAAACTGGAGTTAATTGATAACATGTGTGGTTATTCAATGCAATGTATTTAACATGTCATTATAATATAATAAACCAGCCACTAGGGAGCACACATTTCTTTACACTTCCAATCAGAGACGAGCACAGACCTTATGGCTGTCTCAAGCTCAGGTAAATGGTGAGGGTTGTGTCAGGAAGGGCATCATGCTAACAAACACTTTTGCCAGAAATAATATGCGAGTTAATTTAAGTGATACCATACCAGATTGGTTGAGGCCCTTCTTAACAAGGACCGCCACCAGTGCTGTTGACAAACAAGGTGCTAGTGGAAATTGTGCTACTGTTAGGTCGAAGATGACAAGGAGAGAAAAGTGTCAGGAGAAGAGGAAAGTGAAGAATGTTGGACTGAAGTTGGCAACTCTAAATGTGGGGACAATGACAGGCAAAGGTAGAGAGCTGGCTGACATGATGCAGAGAAGGAAGGTACTGTAGATGTTTTATGTGTCCAAGAGATAAAGTGGAAGGGCAGCAAGGCTCGCAGCATTGGAGCAGGGTTCAAACTGTTTTACCATGGTGTGGATAGAAAGAGAAATAGAGTAGGGGTGGTCCTGAAGGAGAAGTTGGCAAAGAATGTAGTAGAGGTGAAAAGAGTGTCAGATAGGGTGATGTGCCTGAAGGTAAAAGTAGAAGGTCTGATGCTAAATGTTGTCAGTGGTTATGCTCCACAGGTTGGATGTGATATGGAAGAGAAATATACATTTTTGAAGGATCTGGCTGAAGTGATGGAGAGTATTCCCAGGGAGGAGAGAGTGGTGCTAGAGCAGACCTGAATGGACATGCTGATGAAGGAAACAGAGAAGTGAAGTGAAGAAGTGATGGGTAGGTTTGGTGTCAAGGAAAGAAACCAGGAAGGACAGATGGTGGTGGATGAGGGAGGTAGCAAAGCAGAAGGCGTATGATGAGTTGTATGGGAGGCTGGACACTAAAGAAGGCGAGAAGGACTTGTACCGATTGGCAAAACAGAGGGATCAGGGTGGGAAGGATGTGCAGCATGTTAGGGTAGTGAAAGATAGTAATGGTAATGTTCTAACAAGTGAGGAGACAGACCAGAAAATGGAAGGAGTACTTTGAGGAGCTAATGAATGAAGAGAATGAAAAAGAAAGAAGAGTAGAGGTCATAGAAGCTGTGGACCAGGAAGTGGGAAAGATTAGTGAGGATGAAGTTTGGAATGCTCCGAACAGAATGAAGAAGGGGAAAGCAGTAGAACCTGATGACATACCAGTGGGAATTAAGGTGATGAGCCACACAATGGAGATCTGGGAGAGAGTTGTGGAAATTAAACTTAGACTAGAAGTGACTGTAAGCAGCAGTATGGTTTCATGGTGAGAAAGAGCACCACAGACGCCATCTTTGTTTTGAGGATGTTGATGGAGAAGTATGGAGAGGGTCAGAAAGAACTCCATTGTGTCTTTTTGGATTTAGAAAAAGCATATGACAGAGTGCCGAGGGAGGAGGTGAGGTATTGCATGAGGAAATCTGGAGTGGCAGAGAAGTTTGTTGGACTGGTACAGGACATGTATGAGGACAGCAGGACAGTGGTGAGATGTACTATCTCTATTCCAAATTATAATAAATTAATCTTTCCTCAATAGTTTAAAAAAACCTTTAATTATTATAACCTTTATATACCGTTTTTACTGTTGTGCTGGGAGGCAAACCCAAATTTTGTTGTACTTTTGGTGCAATGACCATAAAGGTCTATTCTAGTTTAAAATTCTACACACAATACCCCATAATGACCATGTGAATTTTATTTTTATAGATTTATTTTTTCAAATTTAATAAAAATTGGTATTTGAATAAATGTACTCCATTTCTACTACTCCAAATGTCTTTAGCTTCTTAAATGCATTGTCGAGACTTTGAATTTGATTTTTCAGGTTAATGTATTCGATTTGAATTTCTTGCTGAAATTTTTTTTTTTCTTCTGTTAAAACAATACTTGGCTATAAGCTTTAATAAGATGTGATTTGTGTGTGTGTTTTATTTTTTTTCTGTGATGGCAGGTTGGAACTCATAATAAAGCATGGTTCATTGCTGGAATCTTTGTGTTCATGACCATACCTATATCATTATGGGGCATTCTCCAGCATTTGGTGCACTACACTCAACCAGAGCTCCAGAAACCTATTATCAGGTAAATATGTTAACAGCCCTGTCTGCTACAATACCCTTAAAACGCTTCCTAAAATTTTGATCATTGTTCATAATTTTTAGGATATTATGGATGGTGCCAATCTACAGCTTGGACAGCGTGAGTGATGTGATTTTTAATGAAATCCCTTAAGTAATCCATAGTTGTGAAGTTTGGTGTGTGCAGTAATCTTACTAATGTATAAACGTCCTCACTTTGTGTGCCCTCCGCTCTTCATCTCACAGTGGATAGCACTGAAATACCCCGGTATAGCAATTTATGTGGACACTTGCAGAGAATGCTACGAGGCGTATGTCATCTACAACTTCATGACTTTCCTGCTCAATTACCTGGAAAATCAGTACCCTAGCTTGGTGATGATGCTGGAGGTCCAGGAGCAGCAGAAACACCTACCCCCTCTGTGCTGCTGCCCACCATGGCCCATGGGAGAGTAAGTTCCTTGAAGGATAATGCCACATTTACAGTAGAAGTAGAACATGTTCAATTGACTCATTTCATCCTGAACAGTAAACGTTCTAAGATGATTTAAAATTAATTTGATGATTATTTGACAATTACTAATTCCAACATTTCAACTTACTTCCAACGTAAATTATACCATCTCATCCCATCCCACACCATACCACACCATCCCATCCCATCCCATCCCATACCATACCATACCATACCATACCATACCACTTTATTATAAAGCACTTTAAAAAAAGCAACAAGGCCAACCAAAGTGCTGTACAGAAAAACAAAACAAGCAAAGGACACAGGATAAAATACATAGATCCAAATATGTAAATATAAGAACTAAATGACTAGCATTATAAAATACAAACAAATTAACTCATACAGTGTCAAAAGCCATGGAATAAAAGTGTGTTTTTAAATGAGACAAAAACAGTGAGAGGGAGCCTGTCTGACATGCAGTGGTAACTCATTCTAGTCTTGGACCTGCAACAGAGCCCTGTCACCTCTGAGCTTAAAATTTCAAAACATTTTCCACTTTCTGTGAAGTGCCTATATTCACTTTTACTTTCCTTTGCTGTGTAACTGAAATAAAACCTTTTTTTTTTTAATTGAATATTAGTTCAAAATTGTCTGAACGCCTCAATGAATGTCACTCGTTTCAGTTTGCCCTCAGTCATGCAGGATTAGAAATTGGTGAACATACTCTTTCAATTAAAAGTAAACAGTCCCTCGTTCAGCTCTAAGGTTTATATATCAGATTATCCTTAAAAAAAAAAGAAAAGAAAACGCAACCTAAAATGAACAATTATTGACACGTTAGATTGTCGTTAGATTTTAAGAAAGTATGCAAAAAAGCAGTGAGTGAAAAACTGAATCTTTTATTATTTCCATGTGATTTTAGAGAGTAAGGCGTTGCCAGGGCTTGCTGGTCAAATGTGGTTTATTATTTAACCATCAGCATGGAGCACCTATATAAAAATGCATTGATACAGGTGCTTAAAGTGCCCAGAAATGAACAGAGATGGCAGTGCACACATACATGTATATTATTACACAGCGTATTTGTGGAAAACCAAACTCCGCTTATGATCAACTGGTGGTGGCAGTTTGAGGATTTGGACTTATCACCCAGAGCACCTTGAGTCAAACATTAGCTCTGCAGTTCAAAGTATTCTAAAACCCAGTTTCATAGTGTGAACATCTGCAAAGAAATAATTGGTTTGGGGAGTTTCAGTCATGGTTTAGTCATCATAGCACAGAAACAGCTCTGGTGAAAGTTACTAATGATATTCTCATGGCCTCTGACAATGGACAGGTGTCTACACTGATCCTGTTAGACCTCAGTGCTGCATTTGATACAGTTGATCATAATATTCTATTACAGAGGCTTGAATATGATATAGGGATTACAGGAACGGCTCTAAATGCAGTGTTTCCCCTACCATTATACAAGCGGGGTGCCCCACCCCGTCAACCGAATTGAGCACCCCGCCTACCATACCAAACTTACCCCCCACCTGCCCACCCGGCACTGACATAGGACTAAGCTAGCAGCGAGAAATACAGGTTCTCTAGCTAAAAAGCTAAAGGAAGCACTCATGTTGCCTCTTCCCTCATGCTAAATGCCCCCTGCCCCCACTCAAAAACTGTTAGTACAAGCTGCACTCAGACAAGTGTCTGTCCCCCCATCAACAAAAATCATGGATGAGATGAGCACCCTGCCATGGCAAGTTAACTAGGGGAAACACTGAAATGGATTTAAATCACATTTATCTGATAGATTCCAGTTTGTAAATGTAAATAATGAATCTTCTTCTTACACCAAAGTTAGTCATGGAGTTCCTCAAGGTTCAGTGCTTGGAGTAATACTCTTTACCTTATATATGCTTCCATTAGGTAAAGTTATTAAACAGCATGTGATACATTTTCACTGTTATGCTGATGATTTATAGAAATAAACTAAATTGAACTGAATTAACTAAAACAGTCAAATGACGACACTGTCACATATCATGTTGTTCACTTGAGGTTGTAGTTCTCTAATTTTAACATGTGATAAGTTTTGACCTATATGTAAAACTTTGGAATTTACACAAGGTGCAATTTCCTTTTGCTGTGACTGCACCTGTGTTATGTTATTTATTTAATCAGTCAGGACCCGTTACTTTGCCCAGGCACATGTAGCATCAGCTTAATTAAATTAATTTAGCATTTTTTCTTATCGATACACTTGTAAATTTTTTATCCTTGAAAGTATCGTTGCATTCTACATGTGGCAACCATAGTCGGTGATTGCATCAGTTGCAGAGAAAACATTTGACAGTTCATCGTGATATATCTCGTCATTTAGTCTCAAAGTTTACTATTTCTAATTTTTTTGTCTTTTTTTTTCTTCTCACACAAAATAGGGTTTTACTCTTGAGATGTAAACTGGGAGTGTTGCAGTACACAGTTGTAAGACCTGTCACAACAGTCATTGCTTTGTAAGTAAAACTGGTATTTCTTGAAATAAATACTCATATTTTTGATTGTTAAATATTTAGTTCGCTGGTTTGTTTTCCTTTACTAGAATTTGTCAGCTGTGCGGAGTGTACGACGAAGGCAATTTTAGTTCGGCCAATGCTTGGACATACCTGGTCATCTTCAACAACATGTCACAACTGGTAATGATGGTGTTTTTAAAAGAGGGTTGAGTTAAAACTTTTCATGGAATACAAACTGTAACGTAGTGCTTTATATATTCTGTTCTAGTTTGCAATGTACTGCTTGGTGCTGTTCTACCGTGCTCTGAGAGACGAGCTCAACCCCATCAAACCGGTGGGAAAATTCCTTTGTGTCAAAATGGTGGTGTTTGTTTCTTTCTGGTAAGATCAGCATGTCCCATTTACTGTGACCTGAAACATTTCCATGTTGTTTCCACATGAATTTCCTTTAGTGTGTGTGGGGGTGAGGCGCGTAACTATACAATGTTGAGTAAATTGAGATCTTTTTCTATTTTTTCCCAGGCAAGCTGTATTAATTGCTTTGCTGGTAAAAGTGGGGATCATTTCAGAGAAGCGTACTTGGGACTGGCAAAGTGTGGAGGCTGTAGCTACTGGCTTACAGGTAATATACACTGCATGTACCATATTTTTTGTCGCATACGTCACATCTTTTTGCAAAAATTTGCATGTCCTGCAACTTATACACTGAAGCGACTAATATATGTTTTTCCCCTTATTTATAACCTAAGTTTTGGCTGAGATCTGACAATTTCATTCATTCAGACATGAATAATATTGAACATGACCATTTTCAGCCACTAGAGGGCCTTCGAGAAATATGGCAAGTCAAGTGTCTCATTAATAGGTAAAAGTGGCTATTAATGAGACACTTTGCTTGCCATACCAAGCCACCTTCTTCTCACTCCAGAACTCCTGGAGCAAATGTCAAATCAGCTGCATTTCACCGCACCACCCAGGTGAAATGCAACTGATTTGACCATTAAAGTGCATTTATTAAGGAAAACTTCAACTGAGACACACTTTTGCTATAATGTCAGGCAAACAAATAATAGTTTTTAGGTGGTGATTAGGGCATTAACAGAGTACTCGAGTAATCTACACATCGATTGCTAGGACATCTATCGATGTTAAAAATGTAGTCGGGTATCCGTAGTGATGTCATATTATGTGACCACGTATGACCGTAGGGGGCAGTGTTGCACTGTTGCATGTCACAGAGTATGGTGTATCACCGGGTCCTATCCACCGAACCAGGACCAGTTTTGGTTTAAGTTTCGTTTTTGACGTGCTGCGTTTCTTCACGTTGCAGTTTAATAATAATAACTAATGGTTTAGTTTTTCCCGTGACTTATTTGCAGTATGATAAATGGTAGGAGCATAATATACGCTCCCAATGTTTTGTTGGTCTATTTTTTTGTAAATAATTACCTTTTTTGCGGTTTTATTTATTTATTTATTTTTGTATTTTGAGATCTATGACATCATCAAATACTCGAGTTCTACTCTGCTTTTATTATGTTAATGTCAAGTTTAAAAATTATATACTCGTTCAACCCCTAGTGGTGATCTTGTTAAATTTCGAAGCAATGCACAACAATTCCTCCCACTGCGTGCTTCTGCAGCTGCCAATCGGTTTTTGAAATGCAGCTGATTTGACCATTAAAGTGCATTTATAAAGGGAAAGTTAGAGACACACCTTTGCTATAATTTCGAGTAAACAAATAATTGTTTTTAAATGTTAATCTTGTTAAATTCTTGTTAAAGTCCTCCCATGCACACTCCCGCTGCCACCATTTGGCAGCCAATCGAATTTTGGCACAACACCAGCCCACGTTTCCAGGTTGTCAGCGGTGACGTATAATAGATGCAACTTATATGGCGAAGCAACTTGTTTATTTTTTATTTTTTCACTTTATTAGACATTTTTGGACTGATGCGACTTATACGGCAGAGCGACGTGTACGGCAGAAAGTACGGTAGTTTAAAACTAGTTAAACTGGACACACTCAGGCAAATAGTAAAAGTACTGAAGTCCTCCGCCTGTTCCTTGGACAGAGGCAAGATATCTAGGTTTACTGTATAATATGATACCCAGGTATATTTGACTTGGATTTTAATTCCAAACCACAGATACTGTACAGTCCCTAACAAAAGCAGCTTTTTCTGATAAAAAAAAACAACTTTTCGGGATGTGGCCTTTTCTCTCTTTGAGTAACTGAGAGACTGATGCATGCTTTTATAACTAGCAGCTGGACTATTGTAACGCTCTCCTTTCTGCTCTTCCAAAGCGTACAATAAATCTGTTCCAATTAATTCAGTAGTCAGCAGTGAGGGTGCTGACAAAGACCAGAGAGAGCTCACATTAGTCCTATTATAAAGTCTGTACACTGTGTGCCTGATTTTCGAATTAATTTAAAAATTATTTTATTGGTTTTCAACACATTTCATGGAGCATTATTCATTCAACCTTTATTTATACAGGCTAGTCTCATTGAGCCACGAGGACTAGAGCACTTTGAATTGCATTTGATTTGTATGAGAGTGCTATAGAAATAAAGCTAGATTGATTGAAACCTAAATACAATCAGAATCATCTTCTCTTAAGGTCATCAGTGAGAAACACAACTAACCTGTCCTGGTTTCTGCAGGACTTCATCATATGTGTGGAGATGTTTCTCGCAGCCATTGCTCATCATTTTAGCTTCACCTACAAACCTTACATCCAGGAGGCAGAGGAGGTTTCTTGCTTTGACTCTTTTATGGCAATGTGGGATATCTCTGATGTCAGAGCAGACATTTCTGAACAAGTCCGCAATGTCGGTGAGTACCTCTGGGATGATGACTTCCTTCAGTTGTGTATTTTTTCCAGAAGCAGGCATCTCTGACATGTTTTCATTGAAAATACTTAAAATGTTTTGTGTTTGTGCATTTCCAGGAAGAACAGTAATGGGTCGTTCAAGGAAGTCCTACTTCAGTGAGGCTCAAAATGATGGTGAGAGGTCCGGCCTTCTCTCTTCGGCGTCGCAAGATGCCATCACTGAAGCTGCGTCCAACTTTGGGTCTCCAAGAGGCCAGTATGAGGGTGTGGGCAGAACCCTCACACCACATTCTTTGTCAGCACCTGCTGGGCTGGACTCAGCTGCGTGGGATGAAGGTTTGACTTCCAAACCTGAATCAACCCAAGAATACGAAAGGACCAACAACCAAACTAATGAACCAGAGGAGGCAGATCTCATTGTGATCACTTAGCTTGGACTGGTGTCGCAAATGGATATGGCTGGGCAGGTCCCAGTTAGAGCCTTGTGAAGTTGCCTCAGACATTGCTGATGTAAATGAAACAAGGTGTACAAAAGGATATATCAGCCCTAAAAACATTAGCAGTTTTCCAAAAAGTGCTAAACTAAAAGGACTTTTGATGTTGACCGCTTCGACTATTCAGTGAAGTTATGGCACTAAATGACTTCATAACATTTATTTAACCCCATCTTATGTTGTCCACGGGAAATGTGGAGCTTAACAAGCTTTGCTAAAATTGGTTGTAACTGGGATACAAGTATCGTAATTTCCAGACTATTGAGCACACCTGAATATAAGCCACGCCCACTAAATTTAAAAAGAAAAAAAAATTGTACGCATACAGGCTGCACTTGTCTATAAGCTGCGGGCATCCATGTTGTAACATGAGATTTTTATACAGAACGAATTTTTAAACTTTTAATTAAATACTTACCGGTAACATACACAAATACGTACAGTAAATGTTTTTTTTTTTCTGAACAGTGCCTGTAACGGCTGGTAAAAAAAAAAAAAAAATACAGTAAGTAGCCTACCAGGAAGTCATTGATCGCTATTTTCATCTTCCTCCGGCGCACTGAGCTTGTGCTGTCCTCTTCATCATGCAGCTGCATTTCAAAACCCATTGGTGATAGAGGATTTTTTTTTTACCCTGCTCTGCTGTCAGGATCCACTGGCAGACTTGAGCTAAAGTTGCTCTTCGCATGCAGCGTTTTGATAAATGATTTCTTGCCGCTAATCATCCAAGCCTCCCACTGAGCTCAGAGTGCCACAATAATGCAAGATTTACACTTATTTCAAGTGGCTGTGAGTACTTCGTTGTGCCCCCAGGGAGTGGGGAAACAAAGTTCCCCCCTCTCCCCAGTGGACCAATAAAACCAAGTTTCATTGGTCCACTGTGACCTGTTCTGTAATTTCATTGGTCAGATTTTTTTTTTTACCTTTATTTGTACAGGTAGTCTCATTGAGTTGACCCAAGCCCCAAGAGAGACGTGTATTGGGCAGCTATGCAAGCGCCTGGGTGTGACGAGGCTAAATGTTTTATTGGCATGAAGCTTGTCTGCCCATCAAAAAATAACAAATCCATTAATTAGTTGCAGCATTGTATAAGCCGAGGGGTTCAAAGCGTGTGAAAAAGGAGCGGCTTGTAGTCCGGAAATTACGTAGTTTTAAAAAAGTATCTCTTTGAGGACCTATCTTTTCTTCAATCTTTAGAAAACTAATAAAGAATGTTTTCCAAGTCTGAGTGAAACAGACTTTGTAGGATTTTAAGTAGGATTTTATTTTCACATAGTGTCTTGAACTCAAATGAAATCAGTTCAGAAATATGCAACTTTTATGTTTTAAGATTGTTTCTTAACTTGTAGGAATTTTTTTTAACCACATTGACCGAAAGGAGTAAATCTAAATGAAACATTACTACAAGCACACACTATACTTACAGTACTTTACGGGCGGCTGTGGCTGAGTTGTTAGAGCAGTCGTCCTCCAATACAGGAGTTGGGGGTTCAAATTCACCAGCAGTCACATGACGAAGTGTCCCTGGGCAAGACACTGAACCCCTCATTGCCTCTGATGTGTGTCCCATCAGTGTATGAATGTGATAAAGCTTTGATTAGTCTCTTTAGAATGATTTGTTCAGTTAGCTTTGTATAGTGCTGTATGAATGGGTAAATGAGGGCACAGATTGTGTTGTAAAGCACTTTTTGAGTGTCTTGATCAGATAGAAAGGCACTATACAAGTAGTCCATTTACCATTACTTTACCGTCCTGTTTAAAGTATGTACGTTTGCTAAAAAAGGTGGGAAAAAAAAGGTGCAGATGCAATCAGTTTTCTTTTTCACGCTGTTTTCATGTATACATTTGGAGTAAGTGTAAACTATGCCCTTAAATTACAGGATTAAGTCAACACAATTTAGCCTGGAATCACTCAATCCATTTAAGATGTGGATTTGTTCATAGATACTGACATTACTGGCATAGTTTTAATATCAGCCTTTGTCAAAAATGCATACATGTATCAGACAGAGGACATAATCACATGTTGCCAAGCTTGAGCATGTTGCATTGGCTTTTATTTGTGAAACTAGCCAGGTTGCATCAGCTCTAATGTAAATGTTCAACTTTTTATTGAACAAATAAAATAATTATCTTTCATAAAGTTTCATCTGGAATTTATTAAAATGTCAAATGTATTAGTGAACACTTAAAAATAAAAACCTCTTTACTACAACTGTGTTCATAATTAAAGAATGATCAGGTGATACAAGTACAATTTATACATGTCCGAATGAAACCAAAAATGGATATGGTGCTGTTAGCTATGTACGATTAGAAAATATCAAGCGTGATGTTCATGTCACCTTTTTACTTGGAAAGGCAAGTTACTCCACTGAAACAGATTACTATTCCACCTGTGGAGCTGACAGCCAGTTCTCTCAGTTCATAGAATGTTAAAGGCAGAGCTGCAGTTGCAGTTTTACGATTCAGTCTTTTAGACAGACAGCACTTCTGTTTTGACGTCTATAGACAAAGGAGATGATTGTGGACTTCAGAAGGAACAAAAACACCTACACCCCCCTGAACATAAGAGGATCTGCGGTGGAAGTGGTCTCCAGCTACAAGTACTTGGGTGTACACATGAATGACAACCTCAGCTGGAGCAACAACACCACCAGCCTGATCAAGAAAGCTCATCAGAGACTCTACTTCCTCAGACGGCTGAGGCGAGCTGGTCTGGGAAGCTCAGTCCTCACCTCCTTCTACAGGTGTGCAGTGGAGAGCATCCTGTGCTCGAGCATCAATGTGTGGCATGGAGGCTGCACAGCTGCAGAAAGAAAAGCTTTGCAGAGAGTGGTGAAGGCTGCACAGAAATCTGTTGGAATCAGTCTCCCCACCATCACAGACATCTACACCTCCAGATGCAGGAAGAGGGCCACCTGCATCATGAAGGACCCCACCCACCCAGCACACACACTTTTTGCCCCACTCCCCTCAGGAAGGAGGTTAAGGAGCATTAAGTGTAGAACCACTAGACTGAGGAACAGCTTCTACCCTGAGGCTGTTAGACTCATGAATCTCTAACCAGAATAATCACTGTGAAAAACCATATCATGTTGCTGCTGATCTGTTTCATGTTGCTGCTGATCTGTTTCAATGTTGATGTGTTCATGCGTGCACATCTGCTCACAGACTCATGTTCATGTTTGTGCTGATGTTCAATGTTTTATGTTATGAGTGCTTAGTGTATATTTAGTTGATGTTTTTCTTAGTTCATATCTTAGATGTCATTACTGTTTTTCTTATACATTTTATTGTTGGATGTAACTGGGACCCTGTGTACATAATTTCGCTCCACCACATGTACCACATGAGGTGCGAATGACAATAAAGAAACTCTGACTCTGATAAGAAAGGAGGATAAGCGTTTTCATATGTTTGTGGCAAATAGGATTTCAATTATTAGATACACAATAAAAGTATCACAATGTGTTCTGTTAACACCAAAGATAATCCAGCAGATTACGCTTCCAGAGGTATGAAAAATAAGGATCTGCTCATAGGAGGTCGATGGATCACAGGGTCGGACGTTCTCAGGTCAGATGAACATTGGCCAGAAAATATTGTAGAAAACCTTTTTCCTTTGGATGACCCAGAAGTGAAACACGATTTCCTCATAAACACCATCACTGTCAAAGACTTACCTAATGCTACTGACGAGCTAACTTACTTCTCAGACTGGAGGAAGCTTAAAGTTGCTGTGGCCTGGTTTCTTAAAATTAAAAGGCTCCTCATTACTTTAAGTTGAAGAAGAAGAGTTGCAGGCGAAGATTAAAGACATTTGCAAGTCTCAAAAGTATCTCAGCAGATGACCTTTTAGATATGCATTGTTTACTATGCTCAGCATCAGCAATTTAAAGAAGAAACTGATGCACTGTCATCTGGAAAACAGTTAATAAAGATAGTATTTACAAAATGATCCATGTTTGCAAGATGGTGTATTAAGAGTTGGCAGATGTCTGGATAAGGCAGCACTACCAGAAGAAGTGTCCCCTTATCCTCTCAAAAAAAAAAATCACCATATTTCAACACTCATCATTCGCCATATTCACAAACAACTGGGTCACAGTGGGGAAAATCCTGTCTTACCTAAATTAAGAAGGAATATTGGATTACAAATGTCAACTCGACAATAAAGAAAGTCTTATCCAGCTGCTCTAATAAACGTTACAGTGGAAGAGCATGGCGGATCTGCCAGCTGAAAGAATATTGCCTCCCCTTTTACAAATGTTGGACTGGACTATTTTAGTCCAATTGAGGTAAAACGGGGAAGAAGTTTTTGCAAACGTTATGGAGTGATATTTACTTTATCCAGCAGAGCTGTTCACATAGTAATGGCCTCTTCAGTGAATTAAGCCTCGAGACGATTCACGAGCAGACGAGGCCAAGGCACTCGTATCATTTCTGAGAATGGTACTAATTTTGTTGGTGCAGAAAGGGAACCGAGAGAGACTCTGGCAAAATTAAATCAAAACAAAATACAAGGAGCACCACTTAAGCATGAAATGAAGTACAGTTTAAATCCTGAATTAGCCTCGCACCATGTTTGGGAATGCATTAGTTGAACGATAAGAAAGGTGCTTGACTCGTTCTTGCAGCAACAAACACAGGAGGATGATGAGACTTCAAACTGTTCTTTGTGAAGTTGAGGCTATTCTGAATGATCGACCTCTCAATACTTTGTCTGAAGATCCAAATGACATTGAACCCCTAACACCAAATCATATTCTTCTCCTTAAAGACAAACCAGATGTTCCACCTGGACTGTTTGTGAAGGAGTTGTACATAAAAAGACAACGGAAACAAGTTCAATATATTGCAGATTTATTTTGGAAATGTCGGGTCTTCCATTACTTCAGGAACGCCAGAAATGGAATCAAAGAGAAGCTTTGTTCTTGGAGATATTGTCCGGCTTGTGGATTCAACAGCTCCTCGTGGGTCATGGATACTTGGAAGAATCCTAGAAACATTTCCTGATAGGAATGGTCTAGTACATGCTGTTCGTCTCAAAGCAAAGAATAGTTTAATGGTACGACCTGTGACTAAACTGTGCTTATTGAAACCAGTTATGGAATAAGAAGTATTTATTGTGCCTTTTGTTTCGTTTGAATTGTTTGTTAACAATTGGGACACGGATGTAAAGACCGTTCCATTGTTGTTGATTGAATGCACCTGTTTGTGGGCGGTTTATGAGAATTATCTGAGATACATTCTGATTTGTATTTAGGGCCGATGTGTAGCCCAGAAGGCATTTAGTTTTTTGACTGCATGCACATATGGACGTGCTTAATAATGTTGGAGATAAATAAATGTAAAGATACTAAAGAAAGTGTCTGGGACTGTCAATGTCGACTCAAAACCCTTCAACGGCTGCACCATTGATTCACAGGGTATGACTTTACAGTTAGAAATAAAACTACTCTCACAAATGTTTATATATGCTTCCATTAGGTAAAGCTATTAAACAGCATGGGATACATTTTCATTGTTATGCTGATGATACTCAATTATGACCATGAAACCTGCTGCATCCAATCAGTTACTTGGACTACAAGCATGTCTGAAAGATGTAAAAACCTGGATGACCCTTAATTTTCTGCTTTTAAACTCAGACAGAGAATTTGGTTTTTGGACCTGAGCATCTTGGCAATAAAATTTGCAGCCTTTCACTTCCTCTGGATGTCATTAGTTTGGCCCCTAGTTCTAATGTTGAAAAAAAAAAAAACCTTGGTGTTATTTTTTGTCTTTTAACCCCCAGATTATAGAAGTTACCAGACAGCTTTTCTCCACCTGCATAATATCGCTACGAATAGAAACATCTTGTCCAAAATGATGCAGAAAAACTGGTTCATGCATTTGTCACGTCTAGACTGTTGCAATGGTTTATCATCTGGGTGTCCCAATACTTCTCTAAAACGTCTTCAGTTGATCCAAAATTCTGCTGCCAGAGTCTTAATGGGAGTTGGTAGGAAAGATCATATCTCTTCAATTTTAGCTTCTCTCCACTGGCTCCCTGTCAAAATCAGAATTGAATTCATAATCTTACTTCTAACGTACAAAGCCCTCAACAACCTAGCTTCATCTTATATTAAAGATCTTATTGTTCTATACTTTCCTAACAGAGCACTTCGCTCTCAGACTGCAGGTTTACTTGTGGTTCCTAGAGTTTTCCAAAAGCAGAATGGGAGGCAGTGCTTTCAGTTATCAGGCTCCTCTCTTGTTGAACCAACTTCCAGCTATCCCTTTAGTTATGCTGCTATAGGTTTAACTACTGAAGGACAAATAGACCACATTTCCTTACTCTATTGCTGTCTTTACTTGCTTTACTCTACCTGTTCATATTTGTAATTATTTCTATCTTGTTTCTTGTCTTGCAATAGAAAGTACACCTGGACCTGCCATTGTATGTCTGTCTGTTCCTCCTTCCTGTTCCTCTCAAACCAGAGAGCCAGTCAAAGCAGATGGCCGCTCATCCTGAGCCTGGTTCTGCTGGAGGTTTCTTCCTGTTAAAAGGGAGCTTTTCCTTTCCACTGTTGCCTTTGTGCTTGCTCAGAATGAGAGACTGCAACCAAGTGAAGATTCAACACAAGCTGATGGATTTCTTAAATAGAGAACTTTTATTAGTTGGCTTTTATAATGCATGTGAATGTTTTTGTACTTTACCCTGAGACAACTTCTGTTGTGCCTTGGTGCTATATAAATAAACTGAATTGAATTGCTTCACAATTGCCTAGCTGGTTTCTGACATATGTCAGCTTATGCGTAACTTACTTGTCCCATACCTGTAACTTATACTTAACTTGGGAGCAACACGTCGACATACAATGAAAACTTGATGCATGCACAAAATTACTGGCTGGCCATCTTTTAACAGCATACTGATAACTTATTCAAAACGTACACCTAACAAACACAAGTTACACCAGCGTGTTTGTCTTTTTTTTCAGATGTTGCAATTTGCTGATGCTATACGTCACTGTGTGACAGGGCCTTTAGAAAGACTATAATTAAATAACGTCTAAACAGAGAACTCCATCTGTCTTGAAATGTCTGAAAATAGGTCTGGAATTACATGAAAAGTGATCCTGGGGAAGACAATTATTTGAAATAATAGTGAAAATGGACATTTATAGGGTTTAATACAATTCCCACAGATAATGTGACAGCGAAGAGACCTTAAATCTTTAAGAATAAAACGTTTAACAAAGGTAACATCAGTCCATCTGCTCAGGTGTGTTTTTGATATGAGCTGAAATAGAGATGGTACTTTCATGAATCTTCACAGCGAGGTGGACCCAGTCTCCAGCTTGTACCTCCAGAGGCTCCTGCAGAACAACAGCTGCCTGCTTCCAGTGAGAGTTCTGATTAAGCGTGCTCACGCTGATCTCTTGGTCCAGGTAGATGTGATACCAGAAAGGAATTGCAGTTATTCTTCCTGCAGTGATGGCCTGTACCTAAAAGTAAAACAATGTGGCTTTACGTGACGCTTAAAAACTGTGGTTAACCGTTGAGATGCTTTATGAAGACTGTCAAAAAATGATAATTCTTTACATTTTGCAATGTTTCAAATGGTGATGCTATGGATAAAATTCAGAATAAATAATTTAAAGGTAGACAATAAAAAGGTTAGTAGTTCGTAAGAAAACGAATGCAGTCTGACTTCATTTTTTATGCACGATGCACATTATGGAGCAGACGTCTGCAGGATTTATTTTTTCCATTTGTAAAGTCAAAGTACAAATATAAGCAGCTCAGCGCAGCTCCATTGCTGCACTCAACAAACACCATTTTAATTAACTTAGATCATGCGGCTGTTACAAGTCCAACATATATCTTACTTTGACTTCCCTGTTTGTGTAGTTTGCACTGCCATCCATAAGGTCCAAAACAAAGAGCTCCAGAGCCTCGCTGAGATGTCTGCACTCAAGCGTGGAAAAGTCCAGAAAAACATGGACTGGTACCTGAGGAACAGAAAACATGGTTTTAAAATCTTAAAAGTACTTGAACACAAACAAGATTTATTTTACATCTTTGCCAAAATAAAATAATTTAATAAATATGGATTGGCGTAGAGCAGCACAGTGGCGCAACTGGTAGAGCTGCTGCCTCTCAGCGAGCAGGTCCCTGGTTTAAATCCTGGTCCGAGGGCCTTTCTGGGTGGAGTTTGCATGTTCTCTCCGTGCATGCGTGAGTTTTCTCCGGGTACTCCGGTTTCCTCCCACAAACCAAAAACATGCATGTTAGGCTGATTGGTAACTCTAAATTGTCCCTAGGTGTGAGTGAGAGTGTGAATGGTTGTTTGTCTCGTTTGTCTCTATGTGTCCCTGTGATGGACTGGAGACCTGTCCAGGGTGTACCCCGCTTCTCGCACAGTGATTGCTGGACATGGGCACCAGCGACCCCCGTGACCCAAAATAGAAGAAGCGGGTAAAGATAATGGATGGATGGATTGGCAGGGTTTTTTTTGTGTGTGTGGGGGGGGGGAGGGGGATGTGGACAATCTTCTGTTTTAATTTTAGTGTATTTACATTCAAACAAGATGATTTTAAGAAAAACAAGATTAACTAATTTAAATCATTCCCATTTGTATATACATGTAAAATAAAAAAAAACTTTCACAACATGATAAATGGACTTTCTATCTTATTGAGATACTTAAAGTGTTTTGCAACACAATCTGTGTCCTCATTTATCCATTCATGCAGCACTCTACTAGATCTATACAAAGACTAATCAGTGCTTTATCACATTCATACACCAATGGGACACACATTGGAGGCAATGGGGGTTCAGTGTCTTGCCCAAGGACACTTTGGCATGTGACTGCTGGTGAAATTGAACTCCCAACTTTTGCATTGAAGGATGACTGCTCTAACCACTCAGCCACAGACGCCCCATGATGTTGAGTGAAGAATAGAGATTAAGTAATCATTTAAGAATTAAGCTTTGAGTATAAAGGCACAATTACCGTACACTTTGCAATAGATATCTTATAAAAACAATCAACCAGCTGTGAAACAATATTCTTTAGACAGCTTAAGCTAAATTTAAGCCCAGCTCAGGATATGAAACTGGACAAAAATAGTCTGGAGGTTTGAACTGGAGCACCATACAGTCTGAAGCATGGAAAATTGTTTGTAAATTGTATGAACGCAGTGGAACAAACAGCATGGGCCTGCATTGCTCCCAGTGGCACTAAATCACTCCTGTCCTTTAAAGATTTGGCAGAAGACAAAAACAACTGGACAAATTAGGAAGTGGAGAACAAAGCAGACTGGACTGTGCTTCACAGTGCAGATTAACAACGACCCAAAACGTGTTGGAAAAACAAGCTGAGGAGATTGATGTGGAATATTTTGCAATGGCGCTATTAATTATTGTATTTATCTCCACTGAGGTGCTGAAAAAGAACTGAAAGGGATATTTCAGAGCTTCTGAAGTGGGTTTATATAGAATGAACAAAAATATTTGTTGTAAATAACTCTTTACTAAACAAGCCCAGTTTAGAAAATAGAGTATAATTCTGATCAGACTGATAAGCTACTAATGGTTAGTCAAAGTGTAGCTAAAACTAAAGTGGGTTGCTGCTGTCTTAAAACAACTTGTCAGTTTTTTTACACCACTTCATGCAAATGTTATTTTTCAAACCTCCTGATGGAAGGGCTACAGCTAGCTATTGCTGCTGCTATTTGGGCTTGCAAGTAGTCCCTCATTACTTCGTGATTAGTTTTTCGCGGACCCGCTCTATCGCGGTTTTTCAAAGTAAGATTGGACATGACACACAATTGGCTGATCAATGGATGAGCCGCAAGATCGGCATGGATTTTTTTCTTTAAAATAAATTATTTAGATTTAGCACCTGTGTGCAGCCCACAACTGTGGGAAAAGCTTCCTCCTGCAGCTGATCTCTGTGCAGAGCAGAGAAGTGGGCGTGGCTGAGAGTGCAGCGGGAGGCAGGGAGCTGAGATCATGACATGCTGTGCTCTTTTAGAGTGTTTAGAGTTTAGAAACATTGTTTAGAATATTGCAAGAGTGGAAAGGGTTTAAAATGCCTTAATATAGATAAATATAAATATTAAAATAAACTACTACTTAGTACTAGTACTACTATTCCTACTTCATGGTTTTTCACTTTTCGCGAGGCTTATAAAAGCGCAACGCTGAACTGATGCCATTGAATTTTATTTTATTTTTTAAAGAACGTACAGAAACCGCTATAAAAATGTTGAAACGGGCGTTTTAAAACAACAGAATCTACTTTGGTTTTGGCTCTGCTTTGATTAGCCAATAGTCTGTCAATCCAGTCCAAAATATTTATTTTTCTTCAACCTGAGGTTTCAAATACAGAAAGTAAGATGTGAATTTTTCATAACCTTTCCACGTAATCCTACTTCCAAATAATTAAAATAGTGGCTTCCAGGAAAGAAAGACCAAAAACTAAACTAATACAGCCCTGATTTTATGTTAGTCCTTGATACTGAAATCAATTTTACACTTTTGGCAGATAAAAATTTATCTTGAATATGATTTAGTAACAGCTTTAAAGAACACAGTAATTGGCAAGTTGTTTTTAATGGAAAGAAAAAAATGATTACGTAAGAAACTACCTGTTAATCTTTCCCAAGTCACAGAATATCACCACAAATATATCAAACACCTCAGTTTTCCACAATTTAACAAAGCAGTTGATGCTTCAGACAAGAAAACTACCAGAGAAACCAAAGTGGCAGCACATTTTTGTTCTTCTATTGCTAAAAAGAATAATCTTAGCCACTCCCTGTCACAGTTATGTTGACCATAGAACCCACTGTTTGATACGCTTGATGTAATTGCTCTGATAGATTAAAGTAGGAATCTCTTTGGGCCAAGCTGTGCATTGTGTAGTGTGACAGTTGCGTTTGGATGTGTCTAACACAGAGGGCTTTAAAGATAGCATCTGCTAAAACAAACAACAGCCCCACGAGAGAGAGAGAGGTCTGCAAATTTATGAGCACAAACATGACACTGAAGGAAAACCTTGATTTCCATACCAAATAAAGAAAAAGAATTCAAAGGGGTTGGAGCAGCCGACAAGCACACAGCAATGAGGAGTGCAGAAAATACAGTTCTGGATGTAAATACCGGTACTTCAAATAAAATACTTGGTCAACAAAAGAAAGACCAACATAATTTTAAACAAAAACAGTGCAGCAGTGACCATCACCAACAAAAGCAGTTAAATTAGCTCTGAGTAGCCTTCATGAGACATTAAGCTAACTAGCAGCAGCTAATTAGCCTGACTCGAGGTGTCCTTAGCGAGATGAAGAGCGTTAGGACGGAGGAATGATGGTGATGACGAAAAATCAGTTTGTCAATTTAAATTTGGCCCCAGGTTAGGTAAATATACAGGGTCATTACAGTATGAAGTTCCGAGTGTTAGTTGTTTTGTTTTTTTCCCAACTTAGACCATCTGAAAAATGTAAAGTTTTGCATACAACTACTGTTTCCTAAAGGAGAGTAGGGATGCACGATATTATTGGCATAGTATCGGCCGACAATAGCGTTAAAGTTGAATATTGGACATCGGCCATTCCATTAAAATAACTCACTGATATTAAAGGCACTGTTTTTGCCTGCAGCGGCAGCACAACACGATGACGTCACGCGCGTCTACCTGATCTCACGGCGGAGAGGAAAATTCAAAATGTCGGCGATGTGGAAGTTTTATTTTTTGTTGGTGAGGATGTCGGATTCCGATGACTTATGGACTACGTTGAGCCTCGCTACATCGTCCTCTGTCGGAGATATTTTTCCAACATAACATTAACCGAGATACAAGCCGTCATTTCCAACGTCATTGAAAACCTAATAGCCGATAGCACGACTTGGGTGAGTTTTATCACAGACATTTGGACATTGTGTTAGCCCCGTTAGCATGATTAGTCTTACAGCATAATGGATAGACAAAACTTTGAACTTAAAAAGGCTGTCCTTCATGCACAGGAGTGCAGTGGATCCCACACTGCCGCTAGGAACCTGGAACAAGCCTCCACAAGTGAGACAGCATTGCAGGTGACTAATGCCCATAAATAACATTTAACACTTTTAATTTAATATAAGTTAAAGTGCTATGCATGTCAAATGGCTGCTACTGAATATATGTCACCAGCTCTTACAGCTGTTGCACAATTTTTGTAGCAAATAAGCCTAAATAAGAGGGCTATGTTCTGACAAAGGAACGTATATAAAATATCGGTATTGGCATCGGTTATCAGCCAAATAAATTTTAACATATTGACATATCGGATATCGGCCAAAAACCCAATACTGTGCATCCCTAAAGGAGAATATTAAAGTAAATAAGTAAAGTTAGTAATGTATTGGATATCATGCCCCTGCATGTCTTGGCTGAAGACACCACTAATCACGCCTTTAGGCAAATGATATGATGATAATTGACAAACCCCACCTGCACTATACTTAACCTTAACAACTGTTTGAGTTCGACAATAAACTAGCAGAACCATAGACTCAGCACATAGAACAGAGTGAGCCACAGAAAGGGTTGTCACATCCAAATGATAGAACCAAACAAATGTGTGAAGACCAGCTGGCTGCAGCAGGAATATCACTCATGGGCACCCCTCTAAATAGGACCAAGGATGTTGCAACGCCCCTGGTTGAGTGTGCTCTCACACCTTGGGGGATTGGGAGATCCCTGCTCTTGTCTCTTGTGAGTTAGAGAAACAGCCTCCACAATCCAGTGAGAGAGTCTCTGTCTGGACAGAGCCTAGCCCTTGGCTGAGTGAGATCATGACGGACAGGCAGCTGACGGCTGTGCTGCCAGCAGGCTGATTATCTCTGCATACCATGACTTTCTCAGCCATCAGGGTGCCACCGGAATCAGCGAGAGACCGTGTCTGCATACCCTTTCTAGTAGAGGTAGTATCATTTCCACAGGAGGAAATGCTTATAAAAGTAC